CGAGGTTACTTATTGTGCGTGTTGTTAACAAATACGTAGTAGATATGGCTGATGAAATTCTTAGGCCCTACAACGTAGCTTACACAACTAGCAGAACAAAGCCAGCTTACTAAATGAGACACATACATCATTGTACATCCTGGACAATATGGACAATAGAAGCATCAATCATTGTCCAAAAAACGGCGTACAAATCTTACAAAGTCGACGGACATAAAAAAAAAGATAGTTAGGTCTTGCACGCAGCGAAGGAGGCCGTCGATAAGGTCCATAATTGATACGAAGATTCATCCTCGCGTAATTACATGGTTAACGGAAATAATTACCGTTAGAAATGGCGCGACCTGCCCATTATATATATATATATATACATATACATACTCTTTTTGCCTATCTGATTTATTATGTAGGTATGCCATGAAAGAAATAGCAAAGGAAAGAAAAGAAAAAAGGTATATATATGGTTCTGTTCTTACGAGTAGATCCAAAGACCCGAAACAATGTCAAATAAGTGGATAGGATACTAAACCAACCCCTGTAGTTACGTGTCAAAACCACCAGGCAATCATAAGTACACACCAACTAAAACCTATCATTACCACTTTTTTGCTTGATGAATATCTATACAGATAAGTATAATGCCACTTAATAGGTGAGAATGGGTAAAGAAAAATACCTGAGGAATACGAAATCGGTGGTTACTAATAGCAACTAGCGAGGTATGTGTTCCCGAGTGTGGCCGCGTGGGTGGACTCAGTCACACTTGGGCTTCGGGTGTGGTAGTACACACAACCACCCTTAAGGTACACACTACAACTTGTTTATTGTTTTGCGATTGTCTTCCGTGGTATTAGTATTATTAAGGCGCTTTGAGACTTTGAAAACATTCTTATTTTTGTTTTATTTTTCATTTATTCTACTTCAGTTATTATTATTATTTGAGACTTTGAAAACATTCTTATTTTTATTTTATTTTTTATTTATTCTATTTCAGTTATTATTATTTATTTATTATTATTAGTAGTAGTAGTAGTAGTAGTAGTATTTTTTACCGTGGATACATAGAAAGAGCTACATAATGTCTTGCTTATTAATAACAGAATCATAACCATGAGAGTATTATATAAGTAGTAGTTGAGGTGCTTTAACGTTAATATTACATCGTGGTATGTATTGCATTAGTAATAGTGATAATAACAGTACCAGTAATTGTAAGAGTAAGAATCATAGAAAGAGTAAAAGTAACAACAATTGTAAGATTAAGATTAAGAATTTATAGTAATAGTAAAAGCAAAAGCAATTGTAACTAGTAGTAAGAGTTAATAGCAGTAGTACTTATCATGATTGTAATTATGATGATAATAGTATTTATAGCCATGTTATCAAATGCGATTGTAGTTGTCGTTATCAACCTATTGACGTTTATACTGATATTATTACCATTATCAGCATCGTAATTGTTACATTAATGTTATCATCATTTTAAATAGCGTCATTATTACTATTGTTATTACCATGGTCATTATCATCCGATTATCTTCTTAGATATTTCGTTCATTATAATCATCAATTTGTTTATTATCATCAGTATTGCCATTCTCATTCGTTCATTTTTGATACCATCGTTTTTTTTTAACATAGATTGTTATTGGTAGTAGTAGCAATAATAGTCTCGCCAGTTCTATAGTTATTGTTATCAATATTATTATCAGTGTCATTATCATTACTATTGTTTATATCAACGTCATTAATAAAGTTATTACGCTCATAATTATGTTATTATTATTTTTTTTAAATCTGCAATGATTAGATTAATTTCTCTCACCATCAGCATTACCGCCTCAAACAGCAATTCATTTTACAATCAATATCTGTATCATGATTAAAACCATCTCTATCATTATTCTATATATTAATACATCTAACATAATTCATGTTAATGTTGTTGATCTTTATCTTATTATTGGTAACAACAAGACTTCTTTAGACAAAGAGAAAACATAAAATAATTATTCTTCTCCCTCCTCTACCTTTCCCAAATGCATGTAACTGAGTAGTCATTTGAAACCTACAGTGACATATTGATAATAATTTTGGCAGAAGCAGAGGATTACATATTATGTAAGGTGCCTCTGGTTCACACGAAAGACTCAATCAGTAGCTTATGTGGTTTTCATATGATTTTAAGGACGTATTATCGGTTGTGTTATGTTAGTTAGCATTTCTCTGAGATATATGTACATGTGTGTGTGTGTGTGTGTGTGTGTGTGTGTGTGTGTGTGTGTGTGTGTGTGCTCATTACATATCTCCGCGTGACAGTTTTCAGATAATCTCTTTTTTTTTCGCAGAAGAAAATTCCGTTTCCCTTCCGACCGAGAGCCAACGTGTCCTTGCCCCTGCATGACCCTACAAGTGAATTCAGGGATTGAGTATGATCCTTAAGGCGGTTCTTCAGGCAGTCTGTGTCGGAATCTGGTTCTTAAACGCGTCATTCCTCTGGCAGCGAGCGAGTAAGGATTATGTTCTTGCACACACACGCACACGCACACGCACGCTCACGCACACGCACACGCAACACGCACACGCCACACGCACACGCAACACACACACACACACACACACACACACACACACACACACACACACACACACACACACACACACACACACACACACACACCCTATAGACGATAACAGAACTAACCTTGTTTCCCATGTATTGTAAGATTCCCCATACCCCACTAACACACAACAATTGGTGACACGGTAAGCATTCCTCTATATCTATTACAGAAATACACTAACGCAATACACGCGAGCATAGCATTCCCATAGAAAAGTAGACACAAAACTGCCATTGCAAGTGTGTGTGTGTAACCACCTCCTCGTTGAATTATGGATAGACCTTAATCCATTCACCTAACAAATGATAGGGGTTTTGTGTGACAGAGAACCATCTAACAGAATACACAATTCGCTTAGAGTATCAGATATTGCTACCTGTGCTGCCTGGCTTGTCATTACCAGTTCTTTAACATTGATAGAATAACATTGGTCATGTTAAGAAATTTAATAAAATCACTTAAGATTTTTTTTTTCCAAACTGTGATCTAATAAATAGCAAAATCACTCAGGTTAGGATTGAAAATTATATTCTGATTTATTTTTATACGTATTTTTCATCTTCATTTAAAGAAAACATGTGCAACTTAGTAATAGGAAACTTAAAACAAACTTGCAGGATACCAGCTTCGAATAGCCAGTTGTGTAGAAGTACAAAATACCGTATTTTGATAATATTCACTCTAGTTATACTTTAGTGTTTATAGCTACGTGTGTTTATAAATATGTATAAATATAAATATATTTGTATGTATATGTAAACCTATATACATATATATGTATATGTATATATATTGTACATATATATATATATACAAATACAAATATATATATATAATAATATATATATATATATATAATATATATATATATATATATATATATATTATATATAATATATATATACATATATAATATAAAGGATTATATATAAAATGTTNACGAAAAGAAAAGAAAGATCAAGTACTTTCAAGCACAGGATACGAAAGAAAAAAGAAAGAAAGATCAAGTACTTTCAAGCACAGGATACGAAAAGAAAGAAAGATCAAGTACTTTCAAGCAACAGGATACGAAAAGAAAAAAAGAAAGATCAAGTACTTTCAAGCACAGGATACGAAAGAAAGAAAGAAAGATCAAGTACTTTCAAGCACAGGATACGAAAAGAAAATAAAGAAAGATCAAGTACTTTTCAAGCACAGGATACGAAAGGAAAAAGAAAGAAAGATCAAGTACTTTCAAGCACAGGATACGAAAAGAAAATAAAGAAAGATCAAGTACTTTCAAGCACAGGACACGAAAAAAAAGAAAGAAAGATCAAGTACTTTCAAGCACAGGATACGACAAGAAAAGAAAAGAAAGATCAGTACTTTCAAGCACAGGATACGAAAAGAAAAGAAAGAAAGATCATGTACTTTCAAGCACAGGACGACAAGAAAAGAAAGAAAGATCAAGTACTTTCAAGCACAGGATACGAAAAGAAAGAAAGAAAGGTCAAAGTACTTTCAAGCACAAGATACGAAAAGAAAAGAAAGAGCAAGTACTTTCTGATTTTCGGTCAAAACGTATTGCTTTCTCCTCCACGCCGAGAGAAAATGTAGAATTGGGTAACAACACTTATCGTTGACATGTCTCGTTATCAGCTCGTTGGCCAAAGACTCGTTAAATTTCAGATCAATGGTTCCTTTTTTTATTTTTTGTCGGGTTGGTCGTATATTTGTGATCAGAGTTGCGAGGAAAATTTAATTTGTTTTCGACATGGTTAGGGGTCCCTTGTGCTCTTTGATGTAGCAGGTTTTATATAGATAGATAGATAGATAGATATAGATATAGATATAGATATATATAGATTTATATAAATTTATCATAATTGTTAATATCATTATTGTTAATATCATTATTGTTCTTCCCATTATTATGATCACTGATACCATTGTTACTACTATTATCATTATTGTTATTATTTCTGTTATTAGTATCATTATGGTTATGGTCATTACTGTCATCATTACTATATCTGTTATTATTATAGCTTTCATTCTGATTATTAATGTTATTATTATCATTATCACTATTAATCATTATCATCACTGTCATTATCTTTAGTATGATTTCTATTATTATTGTAATTTTTATCATTGCTAGTGTTATTATCATCATTATCGTTATTGTTATCATTTTCACCATTATTATCATTATTTGTCTTTATTGGTATTCCTATAATTGTTATCACTATTACCATCCCCATTCTTATTGTTGTTATCATTGTTTCTTAGTAGCAGCTATATCACCGTCAACTGTATCTTTACACCCATTATTATCATGAATATTACAACATACACCTGTACATTTCCCAATAATAATTTCTCCTCATTATGCAGGTGACGTTGTGTGTCAGATACCGCCTTCTCCATTCTGCGGAAAAAGGCAACCCTCTGACAAGCTACTTTGCTGGAAATTCGGATAATGAAATCTTCCTGAGTGAGTTAGCGTTGGCAGTTCACACTCTCGTTGTCAGCTGCAGTTACAGTGGCAGCTCTTCGTCCCTTTTATGACACACACATATATAATGTGTATATATACATATATATGTATATACACATATACATGTGTGTATATAAATATACACATATGTATATATACATATACTTACATACTATATATATATATACATATATATAATATATACATATATATATATGCATACATACAAATAAGTATGTATATATATATATATATATATATATATATATATATATATACGCATATGTTGTGTATATGTACATATGTATACATATAAATATATGTATGCATATATATATACATATATGTATATATATACATATACATATATATGTATGCATACAGACATATATACTATATATATGTATACATACATATATAGATATATATGTATGTATACATACATATATACATATATATGTATGTATACATACATATATACATATATATGTATACATATATGTATACATATACATATATATGTATACATATATATATATGTATGTATGTATGTATGTACATATACATACACAGACACACACACACACACACACACACACACACACACACACACACACACACACACACACACACACACACATATATATATATATATATATATATATATATATATATATTTATGCTTATGTATATATGTATATATACATATATACATATATATATATGTATATATATATATATGTATTATATATATATATAGTATATATATATATATGTATATATATATATATATGTGTGTGTGTGTGTGTGTGTGTGTATGTGTGTGTATGTATGAGCTTGCGTGTCTGTATGTGTTCTTTCATAAAGCAAAAATATCCAACAAATATATTTCTGTTCCTCTGTAACAGTCCTCTCCTGGAAGAAATCAAGTCAACTGGTGGAGTTCCACTGCTGTCAAGGCCGAGTTGTCATGAGAGTTGCAGTGAATTCCGAACTCTACAGATGGCACCACGTATGCTTGGCCTTTGACCTGACGACTCGAAAGTACTGGTTGGCTCATGATGACCTGGTCAGTATGGTGTTCTCGCATCATTGTGCATGCCTGTAGTGGTGTAGGGAATATTTTTTAATGCTGTTATGGATCATGATCAGATGTGATTGCGGTTAAATAGTAGTTGGTATGATCAAATGTATAACATTTCTGTTATAAAGTATTCCTACGCCATTTTGAGTAAAGAATGAATCGTAACTTACCATCAAATTGCCTTTTAGAAGCAAACTAGCCCTTTCCCCTTATTTCCAGTATCAAGAAGGTGACCTCCCAGTGACCGGCGCAGAGCCTCTAGAGGTATATGGAAGAGGCCGTCTGGTTTTGGGTCAGGAGATCGACAACCTTCACGGCGGGATGAGTTACCACCAGTCCATCCACGGGGACGTCGCAGACTATCAGCTTTTCGAGACCGTCTTGGATCCCTCGTACCTGAAGGAGTACGCTCGCTGCGGCTCCCCGTCGACCGACGCCCAACCGCTTTTGTTCTTCGACGAAGCCATGACCGTGTTCAGCGTGGAAGGGTCCGCAAATGTGTCGCAGGTTCTTCTGCGGGACTTGTGCCACGTGGAAGAATCGAATAAATTGTTCATGTTGCCGGAGAAGCTTGATTTCCAGTCCTCGCGTGAGGCCTGCGCGATGATGAAGGGCTCGATGGCTCTGCCCACCAGCAGCGAGATGAACAAAGAGATCTTCGACGAGATCGTCCGCTTCAACGACGTCTGCGTGGAGGCCTACGGCACGATCTACTGGCTGGGCTTCAAGGGCGTCGCCAGCAGCGGCCAGTGGCTCACCCTCGAGGGGAACACCACGCTCTCCTGGGACAACCTGGCCAATGGCTACGACACGCCCGAGGAGGACCAGTTGTGCGCCAGCGTGGGCGGCGCTGACTTTCCTCTCATATGGTACTCGACGCCCTGCCAGTACGCAATCTGCCCGCTGTGCAACTTCACCGCCACGCCCGCCTTCAGGGTGCGCGGGCTCTGCAAGGATTCCCAAATGGACCGGTCCCTGTTCCTCTTGGGCTACAAGAACAACAAGCCCCACTTTCAGGGGCCGTTGTATGTCAGCGTCTTTTGGGAGGAGGAGAACGCCACGTGGGCGGTCACGCATCGAGCGGAGGAGAGTCTGACGGCGTACATGGAGGCGGACGCAGCAAACGCGTATCCGATTGGATTACGTACCTGGACTTTCACAGGCGACAGCTGCGGTGTCAGCCAGGTATGATCCAAGGATTAGTGCAGGAGAGAAGGGATTGCTTTTTACCGAATGGATTAAGGCTTCTGCTATTTTGCATTTTACAGGATCCATATTCCATTTGCCTTTTCTTTGCATGTTGTTCTTAAGAGAGCTATTCTTTTCCCTGACCCAAGACCAGCCTCCTGATCACGGCCTGCGGGGCCAGCGAGTACACGTGCAGCGACGGCGGCTGCATCCCGAAGGCGAAGCGGTGCGACTTGGCCGTCGACTGCTCCGACCAGAGCGACGAGCTCAACTGCGACCTGGCGCTCGTCCCCCCCGGCTACTCCGTCGAGATGCCTCCGCCCAGGGCCCAGGACGCCCCCGTGCCCGTCAGGCTCGCCGTCGAAATCACGTCCGTGCGGAGCATCGACATCCTCGGCTTCAAGATGGTGATCGACGTCATCCTGAAGCTGTTCTGGAGGGACTCGAGGCTCAAGATGAAGAACCTGAGGCACGATTCCACGTCCAACAAAGTCCAGGACCCGAAGAAGCTGTGGCTGCCGAAGCTGCGGGTGGAGGACGGGTCGAGGAGCCTGGCGGACATCTTTCCCCGCTCGGAGTCCCTGGTGGTGCTCAGGGAGGCAGACGCCATCCCCGACGACGACACCAACCTGTATGAGGGTGAGGAACCAGCTCTCTCTCTCTCTCTCTCTCTCTCTCTCTCTCTCTCTCTCTCTCCTCTCTCTCTCTCTCTCTCTCCTCTCTCTCTCTCTCTCTCTCTCTCTCTCTCTCCCTCCTCCCTCCTCTTCCCTCTCTCCCTCTCTCTCTCTCCCTCTCTCTCTCTCCTAAAATAGATGTACGACATATACCGTCAAATATTCTTACATCTCAACCCAGTTCTCTGACGACACCAGAAACACACCCTCCCATTTCTCTATTCATTTATATATATATATCCCATCTATACTTACAATTAATCTATCCATACATCTATCCACTCTACTTCCATCTTCGCACCCCCAGACGACGAGTACCTGGGCTCGGCGAACACCCTGGTGCTGAACCTCGTGAACACCATAGACTTCACGTGCCAGTTCCAGCTCCGCCAGTACCCGTTTGATACCCAGAGATGCTCCCTCACGTTCTCCCTTCAAGATGTCTCCTCGGTCGCCGCCCAGCTCCTTAAGGTAAGAGAGGCGAATGCATGAGGGACGGATAGGTAGGTAGGTAGGCTAGTGGGTTAGTAGGTAGATGGGTTGGTAGGTAGGTTGGTAAGTAGGTTAGAAGGGAGGTAGGAAGAAAAGATTTTTTTTTTTTTTTTTCCCTAGACAAGTTTACCGACATAGAGTGTGTGAATGAGAGAGAGAGAGAGAGAGAGAGAGAGAGAGAAAGAAAGAAAGAAAGAAAGAAAGAAAGAAAGAAAGAAAGAAAGAAAGAAAGAAAGAAAGAAAGAAAGAAAGAAAGAGAGACAGAGACAGAGATAGATAGATACATAGATAGATAGATAGATAGAGAGATAGAGATAGACAGAGAGAGGGAGAGAGAGACGGGGAGGAGGAAAAGAAAAAAAATGATAATTTAACTGTATACGGCATTATGAATCATGCAATCTGTTCGTCATGAATTCTACACACGCTTTATGAATCATGTCTTCTGTAATATTCCAAGTAGCTCCTCGTGTAGAAGGTCTATAGAAGTGTCCATTTCGACCTCGCTCTTATAGGGCCCCAAACAGGATTAATTTATAATGCGGGCTTAATGGGGGCCTCTATGACAGTGCTATTGGCATGTCTTACCATCGCGTGATCATTTCTACGCAGTATTGTCATATTTTTTTGTTTGTTTTGTTTCTTTGTGGTTAGTGAAGGGGAGAGTAATTCGGGGATTTTGCATTCATTAAGATTCGTGCTGTGTCTTTTTTTGTTNAGAGAGAGAGAGAGAGAGAGAGAGCGACAGAGATAGACAGAAAGATAGATAGAGAGAGAGAGAGAGAATCAATAGATTAGTGTCAGCGTTTTGGAAACTCACGACACAAATGCCAATTTCCATCCGCGACAAATATCACCTGTTTGGCATTTCCTGCGGAAATGTTCAGACAAAAACACGTTATCGCGAATGGTGACCAAAAACAACCAAAACAACAGATAAGGGACACATTTTTGTTTATTTTTTAAAGCATATATATATATATAAATATATATATATATGTATCTGTGCGTGCGTGAATGTCTGTGCGTAAGTGAAAGAGAGAAAGAGAGGCGAGCGACGCACGCAGTTTGCACAAGAGGAAGCAGCCAGTATTTCCTTCCCGAATCCACTCGCCCCTTTGTTCCTCCGCCGAGCTCTGTCGCGTGCAGGACTTTGCGTGAATTAGATGGGCGTCCAAGGCTCTCCACGGGCGTCCCATGAATCATGAAGATCGGATGCGCTATGGCTGAATGGTGGAATAACGACCGTATGGAGTTTAAACCTCCTGTTAGCACCGTTCTTCCCTCGTCTGGTTGTGTGCGTATGTAAGTAGGTGTGTTTGGTGTGCATATAAGTACAAGTGGAAAATTACGTTAAGTAAGAAAAAAAGCGATTGATCCAAAATTAAAATGAACTGTAAACTGCAGTGTCAAGAAAGAGAGAGAGGGAGAGAGAGAGAGAAAGAGGGAGGGAAGGAAGGAGGGAGGGAGGGAGGAAGGGAGGGAGGGAGAGAGAGAGAGAGAGAGAGAGAGAGAGAGAAAGAAAGAGGGAGGGAAGGAGGGAGAGAGAGAGAGAGAGAGAGAGAGAGAGAGAAAGAAAGAAAGAAAGAGATAGAGAAAGTCAGGGAGAGTGAGAGAGAACATAAAACGTATCCGAATGCAAACAGTAATTGAAAATGACTGACACGAAAGAAACTTCCTCAAACACACACACACATATATCACACACACGTTCATGCACTGGTAGATGCATTTAGGAACTCGGAAATGTGTTTGACTGTTTGACAAATAGATAAGCAGTTGCCGAGAAAACGTTTGCTTTTTATTACTCTGATGCAGGTCATGTTCTTTCTGCAAAGGGTCTTCCTCACAAGAAAAATATGTGTATTCGGCGGATGAGTAATTATATCTCTCTTATGCTGCGCTGTTATACTTTGAATTCCACGAAAAGTGCAAAGGCGGAAGAACACACACAGACTGGGGTGTAGATAGTAGGAGAGACAGCCTATGCACGGAGACAGAAACACGTGGACACAGAAAGCTTGACAGGCAGACACACACAAGTACATACACGGGAGTGTGCAGGATATATTGTGAATGTGTGTTATATTTGAGGAAGAATTATTTTCATTCTGCAGTTACAGACACACACAACGCAACTGGAATCACACACACATAAACATATCTGAGTATGTACATAGGTGTTACTACGACGTAATCCTAGAATGTTCTTACTTATTCATTAACATCCGCTTGTTTCTGTTCTTTTCAGGCTCGTCTTCGGGCGCCGACGCTCGCAGGAATCTCCGAAGGCGCCAGTGCTTCCCTCTGACGACTTGAAGTGAAACTAATCAATCAAATCATTTCCACAAAGGAGTAGAAAGATAAAGTGATAGAGTAAAAAATCAAAATATAAAAAAATGATAAGAATTAGTGGAGAAAGTGTTATATAGACGTATTAAAAATAATTTTGTTATTAAAAGAAATGATTGCTCAAGGTGTTAATTTCCTCTTATGTGAACAGCAAAAAGGTCCTCTTAGTCATTAATGGTAATGAATAATACCTGATAAAAAATCCAAAAACGAAGAAGCGAGAGAGAGAAGCAAAACACAACAAATGAGAGACAAAAAACGCCCCAGCGAGGAAACAACGAAATAAGCAAATCTAGCCAAGGCGCCCATTTAGGCAGTTGCGTGTCTCGAACCGGTGCTTCAGAAACATGAACGATTCGGGAAATCACTGTTTCGAACGGCGTCCAGAACGCAAGAAAAAGGCCCACACGGCGAGCGTTGGCAGCGGGACCAATGGTGGAAACGGCAGTGTTGGCAGCACCTCGAGTGGCAGCAGCAGTGGTGGAAGCTGCCACACCGTTGGAAGAGGGAACGCCGGCAGCGCCATCGACGGCAGCGCGGAGAGCGGCGGCAGCGGCAGCCTCGGCAGCAGCGGGTCGAGCTCCGCCGGCGTGAGTCCTCGATTCCACCGCCTGCACGACGCCAGGAGCAACGGGAGCGAAGAGGAGAGGGAAGGGAGGAGAGGAGAAGTAGAGGGAAGAGGAGGAAGGGCGAGGGAACTGGAAGGAGGTGGAAGAGGAGACGTGGAAAAGGGAGAAAGGAGAGACGTAGAAAAGGGAGGAGGAAAGAGGG